AGAATAAGAAATGAATCTTAATCCAGTGTAAACAGTCCAAGCAGTGAAGACTGTCACATTGTTTCATTATTGGGGCTGCCTGTTCCAAAGGAAGTACTCCCTACAAGTTTTAACTACTCCTAACCACAGAAAAGTAAATTACTAAGGACAAAGGGGTCACAAAGATTTCTAACTGGCTCCCCAGATTTAAGTACAAATAAGCTGTTCTCCACTGGGAAAAGATTTCTGCATAGCAACTTGCTTTCAAAAATACAGAATACATCTTCACACAGCTTACCAATGATTGGGAAATTCAGAGTAATGCAAATAAGTAGATTTTTACCCCGCTATACGTTTTATCACATGCAGTACCTTGCAGAAATATTCAACCACCCTTGGATTTTCCTTATTTTGTTATGATACACGCTGCATTTAATCAGTATCATTACCATTCTATGTACACAAGATATTTAAAAACATGCTACAAAAAATATTTTGTACCAAGTACCTATGTGACAAGTACCTATGCACTTGTTGGTCAATGTTTGATAGAAGCACCCTGAGCAGCAATTACAGTTGTGAATCTGGATTAAGTCTCTGAGAGCTTTGCATAACTGGATCCTGCAATGCTTGCTCATTCTTCCTAACAAAACCGCTCTTGTTCTGTCAGGTTGGAAGGGACTTTCAAGTCTGAATGAGCCATTCTAAGACATTCAGACTGTTTATAAACCATTCCTGTGTTGTTTTGGATGGATTACCAGATAACACCAAGTTATGCTTCTTGGTAACAAAGTGGCACGGTATATCACCTTGCATCCTACACTTGGTTTCCATTCATGCTTCTCCAACTTACCTCCAAATGGCAGTTGGTATCCCATCAGGCCCCGCAGCTCAGCATATATCCCAGTGTGCACTGCTCCTGTCTGCCTTGGCTGCCTCTCCCTCATTGGCCCCCATGTTCCCCTGGGCACAGCCTCAGTCAGCTAGTCTTTTTTATTTTTATGTGCTGCTCAGCAAAGCGACTGCCTACTCACTAGAGTAGCACAGTTACTCTAGAGTAGCACTGCAGCAGCACTTCCCAGAGATGCCCTGCTCTGTGCCAACATGCAAGCACACTCACCCCTACACAGACCTCTCCTCCTTTCCTTGCTGCACGTGTGTCCACACACGCTTGTGTGCAGGACCTGCACATGCTGCTGGAACCACTTACTGCCCACAGCCAGGCACACAGAGCACCTGTGCAAGGGACAGGGAGTGCATGCCCGGTGGGCAGACTTTCCCACAGCTGGGGCAGGGGGTATGGGGAGACATCAGATCTTGTTCAGAATGTCAAGGACAAGTTAAGAGCTGGCAGGGCAGAGGACCTGGGCTTCTCAGGGTGATCACTCTGATAATGATGCATATGCATAGCCTGGGTGCTCCTCTTGTGTAAGGCTGCCATCACATGAAGAGACCACTAGTTCCCAGCGTGGCACAAGCAGTCCACTATTTGCAAGTGCCACTCCAACAAAGTGCAGCAACCAACCTCACTGCCTCTGAGATTCCAAGGCTGTTGTTGGGCATCAAGGCGGCAGTGCAAGGACAGAGAAGAAAATAGTGTAAAGTAGCCACAGCACAGTCCAACACAGCTGTTACTAGATAGAACAGTATAGCAGAAAACACAGGCTGGAGCATGTGCTGCAGCCACAGGCACTCTTGCCACCAAACTCTAGGATGGAAACATGGACACCACACAGAAACGTGACAGCTTAGTTCAGAAAGGCAAACAAGCCATGTTTTCAAAGCGATGAGCATTGCTGACTTTGTGCTACATGTAACATTTTATAGCAAGGTCAAAAGGTTCAGTTTTGGGCCTATCAGACCAGAGAAGCTTTTTCCACATGTTTGCAATGTCTCTGACATGCTTCTTTGTAAACACCAAAAGGGTTTGATTTTGGTTTGTTTCAGCTGACAACTTGGCAAGTGCATTTAAGTCAGCCTATATGTAGTCTTGCTTTGTCAATCTGTTAGCTATTCCACTTAGCTGCTCCCTTTGACAGCTGAAACAAGGAAATCTATTAAGACTATGTATGTCAAACAGCTATAAAAGCAGGTTTGAGAATGACCAAGGAAAAATTATGACCCCAACTGCCCAATTTTCTAGGTCTAAAAAAATACCTAAGAAGTTAGCAAACCTTCACCAAGGTTTCCCCACTTGGCCATTGACAGACAGTCACTCATGCCAGCAAAGATGGAATCACAAAGAGGAATGGATTGGAATATAATCCAACCTGCAGGAAGTGCTCTTGGTTTGGATGACATGACAACCTACTGTGGCTAGTTATGTCTGGCTCAACAGAGGACAGGACCTCTACTCAAAATTGTGAATGCATTTCCAATGCATAATGATTTTCCTTTCGTGATTTGTTGCAGGTGACTTTCCCCTGAGAAACACTTAAAAGAAGAGAACACTGAAAAGGACATTGACGGGGGGGGGGGGGGAGGATTAGCTATTATGGGCTCTATAGTGGCAAGACCCTGAAAAAATAAAATTGCAAACATGTTCCCAGATTCATGTTCCCAGATTCATGTTCCCTTCAGCAATAGGATACAAGGGAAGAAGAATTCACTTCAGTAGCTGTCAACTCTAGCTGACCAACTGAAGAAAAGGCACTGATGTAGGGAACATAAAAGTTAGGATTTCTCCTGCAAAGGCCTCTGGGATATGAACCAGCAGCAGCCAGAAGAACTGAGCGGAAGTGAGAGAGAAACTAGTCACAGCAAGTCACTGTTATGCTAAATCACCCAAAATGTCTTATTTTCAGGTTGCCTCAGTATGACATGAAAATACACTCAGTAGTGAAAGGGTTAATTCCCCTTTCCTCATATTTTCTGGACTTCAGTCAGTTCCTTAAATGAACACTGGAGTTTATTTTATATATATATTTGCACGTGACATATAATTCACCCTTACATTAAATGAGTAAAAGATTTTTTAAACTTTCCAAATATATAAACATTTGCTGGCTTTTCACTGTCTAGCATCTTCCAAAAAGTTTAATTAATAAGGAACTTGACAGTCAAATAGGAAAACAATCCCAAATTCATGCTAAATGATTATACCTTTGTTGAAATGAAGGAAAAGAAAAAACAAATTCAAACTTTCTAAATAAGAGTACATGGGAAATTTATTCTGGAAAACATGTGGGTCATTTCCCACATTTTATTCTCCTTCAGTTCTGTATCCCTCATAAAACCATCCTTTCTTGCAATCCCACAGAAAAAGACAGCAAGCTTTAAAACTCAATACAGGCATTTACAGTTCACATCCCACTGAGCTGATCTTCATTCTGGAGTGGTCATGCTTGGCAATTCAACTAGAATCCGTTACTTTCCAGCCTATTACAGCAATTCCAGAACTATTTACTTTGGCTTGGATCACAAATTTAACCTTATTTGTGCTTTTCAGTCTAACACACAATAGGCCAGCCTTCTTTCTAGTCTGTCATAAAGGTGGTGGGTTTCTCAATTCACACAATGTTGATATTCTTGTCAATTCTATCAACTTATAACTATGTATTCTTTGTATCCAAAGCACCTACTGAAAAAACTGATTAAAAAACTGAGGAAAAGCAGGTACTAATATCCAGCAAAAGGTGTACAGCACAATCCTATAAAACTGGGTTCAATAAGCTTTACTCCCTAGTATTGTTGGGACTCTTATTTGTCTCTTGAGAAACCTGTATGCGGGTTAAGAAGCAACAGTGGGAACTGGACACAGAACCACTGATTGGTTCAAAATTGAGAAAGGAATTTGACAAGGCTGTATACTGTCACCCTGCCTATTTAACTTATATGCAGAGTACATCATGAGAAAGGCAAGGCTAGATGAATCACCAGTTGGAATTAAGATTGCTGGGAGAAATATCAACAACCTCAGATATGCAGATGATACCACTTTCATGGCAGAAAGTGAAGAGGAACTAAAGAGCCTCTTGATGCGGGTGAAGGAGGAGAGTGCAAAAGTAGGCTTGAAACTCAACATCAAGAAAACTAAGATCATGGCAACCAGTTCTCTCACTTCCTGGCAAATAGATGGGGAAGAAATGGAGGTAGTGACAGATTTTATTTTCCTGGGCTCCAAGATCACTGCAGATGGGGACTGCAGCCAAGAAATTAAAAAACACTTGCTCCTGGGGAGGAAAGCTATGGCAAATCTAGACAGCATACTAAAAAGCTTCACCCTGCCAACAAAAGTGCATATAGTCAAGGCTATGGTTTTCCCAGTTGCAATGTATAGCTGTGAAAGTTGGACCATAAGGAAGGTTAAGCGCCAAAGAATTGAGGCCTCTGAATTGTGGTGCTGGAGAAGACTCCTGCAAGTTCCTTGGACCACAAGGCGATCAAACCGGTCAGTCCTAGAGGAGATCAACCCTGACTGCTCTTTAGAAGGCCAGATACTGAAGATGAAACTCAAATACTTTGGCCACCTAATGAGAAGGAAGGACTCCCTGGAGAAGAGCCTAATGCTGGGAACAATAGATGGCAAAAGAAGAAGGGGCAGCAGAGGATGAGGTGGCTGGAAGAAGTCACTGAAGCAGTTGGTGTGAGCTTGGGTGGACTCCAGGGGATGGTGGAGGACAGGAAGGCCTGGAGAAATGTTGTCCATGGGGTCGCACACGACTTCACAACGAACAACAACAATTGTTGGGACTGCATCCACAATTTGTCAAAATCACATTTGACAGTTATTAAGAAAGGGTTTGTGAATATGGATCTACTGACAAACAGAATGACTGCAATCTTATACACAATAAGCCACGTTTGTCAAGAAGTCTGGCTTTGTATAAACAACCTAATGCACTGGCTATTTTGGTCCTGTTTAGCTTCTACCTGCTAAAGCTATCACTAAACAAAACAGGAGGCTGACTTTATTATGCCACTTGAAAGTGGTCAATGAGTTTACAAAAACCTGGCTACATGGAAAGTTCTTGCGCTAAAGACAAAGTTCATTCATAGCTAAATTCTTTCACAGTACTTACCTCCACATGGTTGAGATGAACCGCTTCCTCCAAGTAGTACTTGAATGCCTACTTTTTCCAACAATACCTTCCATTTTTTAATTATGTTTAGTGAATTGTCCTGGTGAAAAGAGACTACAGTGAATTATTTTTAACATTTAAAAGTTAAGTATTTAAAGAAACATAATAATACATTCCTAGGACTGGTGTCCAAATAATAGTAGTACACTAGAACTAAAAAGAGTCTACTAAAATGGTACATACCGTACTAGCATCATTAAAAATGGAGAGCTCAATAGAACCTTGGAAGTCTTGTTCTAGAACAGACTTCAAACATTCTTCCAGCCAGCACTCAGCATTGTAAACTGGTAGAATTACAGACTGCAATGAATAAGATAAAACACAGTATTAGTCAGTATTCATGGCTCACATATATTTCCTGCATCACTCAAAATGATGCCGCTTTTCTTCTATCTACCTAACATACACACAGGCAACTCTGAACAGAAAACAAAAGGCACTATCATTCTCTTTACAAAGTATTTCCCATATTTTGCTTTCTTCTTCCAGGTCTACTTTTGTCCCCTCTCTTCCTAAACCACTCTTAGTTTAAGACAGCTTTATTATTTTACCAAAGATAGATTTGAGGATATCCTCCTGACTCACGTGGGATCATCCAATTGAAACCGTTTCTGAACATCACCTTCCATATTGTTATTACATTGCAGAGGCTTATCTTGGTTTCCTGAGATATACAGACTCTGATTTTCCCACCCAGGCATTTCTAAATGCAAAGGGAAAATCCAAAGTTGTGCTAGCATGTGTTCCCATTCTATCAGACACAGAATAGGATCCAAGGAACTTATGGTAGGAACTTATGTTAGTCCTGCACCCTCTCAAGCCCAAAAGAACAATATATTCAGGGCTGTGTCACCCCTTCACACTGAAACATCTGAAGCAAGTAAATGCAAAGATTAACCAGCAGTGCTTCACATTGTTTTCAAATTGCCTCATACAAAGTCTGAGGTCGCTCTAGCAAACCCATTAATTTTTGCCATTAATAATCAAGAATAGGAAAACAATTTAAAATGTTATGATTATCTAGTCAGGAGATGACATACATTCAAAATTACAGTGCCCAACATTATTATATCTGGAGAATACAGTAATCTTCCTTCAATTATTTTAGTGGTATCATCAAGCCATAATAAAATTTGCACTTCTATTGCATTTTCTCAAAAAGATATTAAAAATGATTAGTTTCCAAGCAAATTATGAATGATTTTCTAGAAGAATGGGGGGAAATGCCTATTTCATGTATAGGTTGTAGGAGAAAATACTGTACAAACATACATGCACCCACACATCCTAAAGGACAGGTATCTGTATTACAGGAAAGGTAATGTATGTGTGAGGCCCTACAACTCACCATGTGTTCTACCTATATGTGGTCTTAACTGCTCCTGACAATCGCTCTGCCCTTTAAACACTCTGAATATCTTTGTAAGTCAACATGACCCACACAAGCCCCCATCCTCTTCCTTAACTTTGAATCGTGGAGAGGACAGGGGATTGCCTCTCATACTGCATTTAAGTTATTTCAAGGGGGTCTGAAGCTATATATGACATGGTCCCACCCCCTCCCATGCCAGAAAAATCATAGGATTGTAGAAACCACACGTTTTGGCTAGCTCTAAAAGGATTGTGGATCCAGTGTATGTGTCTCTTTCCAGAGAAGCTGTCTATTTGGCAAAACTCTATAAACACCCATCACATGATTTAAAAAAAAGTAACCAAGTAAAAGCAACTTCTATCTGTCTAATATTTTAAAAAAATCTCAAAGGAGGGGAGGGACTGGGTAAAATCGTGTTTATAATGAACAGGTCTTATATTTAGAATAAACCACTCAAGTGATTACCACATCATGCTTTCAGGCAAATGTAAATCATGAAGACTTCCCACTCAGCCATGAAGGTTTCTAAGTGACTTTGGGCCAGTCACTTACTCAGCCCAACCTACCTCACAGGGTTGTTGTTGTGAGGATAAAATTGAAAGGAAGAGACTTACATAAGCTGCCTTGGGTTTCTTAAAAGGAAAAAAAGGCAGGATATAACTATAATAATAGTTAAGTATTAATAATATAACATGGAAATAGGCTTCCATAGAAGTAATTTCTGGAGCTATTTTTAGGAAGTTATATTAGGGTATGATCCTATGCACATTAGGCAGAAAATCTGCACAACATCCAGCATTCCTTAACTATGCCTTAGGAATTTTTTTAAAGGGAAAGAGAAAACATGCTTTGGGAGGGAGAAATTTACAAGAAAGGAGAAAAAAGCATGGCAAAGGTTAAGCTTACTCATGTCCATTCCAAATCACCCTCTTCTGTAGCAGCTTTGCTATTAAAAACAAACAAGCTAAACAAAACACAGCTGAATGAACACTACTCCACACATTCACAAGCAACATTTAGTACACCTTCTCTAACCAACAGCATGCCTACAACATACTTAGGAAAAGGTTTGGCATTATTGTAGCTATAAGCATCTACTTTGCTTCTGATCAGTCTGCCAGCAATAAGGCTACCACTTTTGGTTCCTCTGCTGCACCTCACAATCCTAAATATTCCTGAGAAAAAGTATACTTAGATTCACCATCCTTTCACAGATGTGGCAGACATCTACAAACAAACAAGCACATAAATAGAGCGATATGGAACATACCACCTGAATCCTACTGCTTTCTCTGACCTCCCTATTCAAAGGTGCAATGGGCTGCAACTGAGATCTCCCTAATAAAGGAGGTGATGGTGTGATTGGATGGGTGGACTTGGGGAGCCCAGAATCACCAGCACAGCTATCTTCTTGCTGACAGGAAGGCAGACTGCTAGACCCCCCCGACATTTCTGTGACATCCATCCGTGGCTGCACGATCAGGAAAAAAACGGGGACACGTAGCATCTTCCAGACAAGGGCCAGCCATAAAGCCATAATGAGCCTTTTAAAAGTGCCTGCTTTAGGCCTGCTACAACACTTATGAAACAGGGCTGCAGGTTTTCTGCATCAAATAAATTAGCGTGAGGATTATGGGGTGAAATGTAAGCAGTAGTTAGGGGGAAAGCAGGAGCTAAAAAGTCCCTGGAAGGTGTGCTGTGAGGAGCACCGAATTAGACGAAGGCTGTGTGGAGTCGGGGGGATAAATGAGGGAAATACAACAACAGAGTCACGGAGCGGCAAGGTCAAAATAACAGGCAGGCAGATGAGAAAAGGTAAGGAAAGAAAGCGAGAAGACTAAGAAGGGGCGGAAGGAAGAAGGACGGGAGGAAGAGGCCCAAAGAAAGGAAACGCAGGCCAGGTGGATGCACCGGCTTAACCCAGCCCCCCACAGTGCGACCCCTTCTTCTCGCGGTCGCCACCCACGACCGCGCCCCTCCCCCCGCTTCCTCAATCCTGCGGGCGCGCAGCCCGAGAGGCAGCGCGTGCAGCTGCTCCTCCGCCCCTCCCACTCTTTCCGGCGCGGAGCAGTAAAAAGCAAGGGCTAGAGCGGCAGCGGGGAGGAGTCGAGCGCGCGTGCGGGTTTTCCTAGATGCTGCGGCCCGGCGCTGGGAGAGAAGGGGAAGCGGCATGTTGTGGATTATGGGACAGTGTGGGGGGGTGTATTAACGGAGCGCTGAATAGACAAAGGATCTGAAAGTTTGCCTTTTTTCTTACCCACCTAGCCAATTAGAGCTAGGCATGTTCAGTGTAAACAGTCCTGAAATCCTCTTTGCACATGTACAGAGGCTCCGTACCATTTGTTCTCTGTTAAATAGCAGTGATTAGGGCTGAGAAGCACTTTCCGGGGCACTTTGTTTCTCTTCTCCCACCCTTATTCTCCCCATGCGCAAAGGTGTTACATTCATTTTTTTTAATTTGATTTGTACACCACCCAATAGCCAAAACTCTAGGTGGTTCACAAAGCGACACCTTCCAAACTACCTAGCTTTCCAGCGCCTCCTTAATAAGTCTTCCTGCCACTTTCTCACTGTAAATGATGTAACTTTCTCTTTCCTAGTCACCCTCTCAGACCTGGACGTCTCGTCTATTGTTATACACACTTAGGCAGCGGGGTGAAAGGTAGAATTGTCAGTATTCCACATGCTTGGAGTTGCAGGGCTTCTTCGGTTTTAAGTGTGCTTAGGATTGCAGCCTTCATGAATGAAAGAATGAGAATCAATGCCCAAGTACAGAGTTTAGTTTTTGGGAAGACAGAAGATAGAATAGAAAAAGATACGAAAAGGAGGCAGGAGTCACCAAAAATAGAGGAACTTGTGCAGAATTTTTATCTTTAAATGTGCTGAATCCTGAGCTAAAATAAATACCCTGGACAGTGGACTACTCCTCAGGACTTCACTAAGTGCTACCATGCAAAACATATTGGGCATGATGTCTGATTGGGTGTGAAACAGCCAGAGTAAGCCCAAGAGATGATTGGGGCATAGGCACACATATGCCAGTCCAAAATCACCTAGTTTCCACTTAAAACATTTCTTTTAAAGCGATCCTGAGCTTAGGTAGATCCTTTAGAAAAAAGAGACTGCACATTCATATTTTTCTGAGCATTAGAAGCTTGTGACAAAGGGAAAACTATACCTAAATGGGAATTCAGTCTTTCCACACAAAGTAAAGCAAGGGGGAATTCTCAAGTAAAGCAGGAATAATTCTGAGGATCTTGCTGGGAAGTGGGATTAAATCCCCCCAACCCCTTTTCATAGCTTAAAATGATTTGTGCCTTTGGTTTTTTCAAACCAACCAAAAAAAAAAAAAACAAGTAAAAAAACCTTCTGGCAGCTGTCAAGTAAAACAAAAAAGGGGAGGTAATATACTGAAAGCATAGGTACAGCAGGGTTTGCTCCTAACCCTAACCCTTCCCCAAACTTTGCCCCAGCCGATGCTTCAAACCTCTGCAGTCACACAGTTGTGGCTAGAAATAGGGATTATTCCTAGCTGTCAAAATGGGAATTTGCAAAGCCACTTTGCCAGATTTCCTAATCTCAGCTATGACCACACCCACAAAAAGGGGTAAAAAAGCAGAAAATCTCTTGTGAGCCTGTAACAGCTTGCAATCACAATGGGGATGGGATAGAACAAGTGCCAGTTGTCCCCAGGTACTGCTTAGGTACTGCTTAGGTACTTCGGGGCAGCTGTGCTTATTCATCAGCCCCATAGGAAGAGAGACTATTTCGCCTCAGTTACCATTGGTCTTTGTAGCAGAGTACTCGTACCCACAGTGGGTTAATCATCTTAGTTCAGACAAAATGATGGCTTACTGTAGGTGGATCAACCCTTAGCCATGGGTTGTTGGTGTAGGTTGTTCTTGCCCACTCACAAGCCACCCTGGGGTTCACATGACATTTGTGTGTGAGAGAGATGCAAGCCCAGTCATTGTGTAGCTATTCCACTCTTTCCTCCTTAATGATTTTCTGTGGTAAGAAAGAAAGGGAAGAGAAAGGAGGTAAGTGGTGGAAAAACACAAAGTAGGAGATGATTTGGAATGGACCACATGTAAAAATCTGTAAATGAGGCAAGGCAGTGACACCATCGAAACAATACACATCACAAAAATATAGTTTTAATAAATTATCATTTAATTTTGAATTATTTATACTAGTACATGCATTAAGGTTATCTGAACATATTTACTGGCATGCACATAATGTTGGGTACTATACTGGGTGCCTAGTAACTTTATCTGCCTAATTGATTTTCCACTTGTACTTTTCGTCAAGAATTCAGCTAAGTATATTTGCACCCGTTATGTGTACATGAACTTGCATTTTCTCAAACTAGTTATCAGAAAGTAACATTGACATTTGTTTTTATGACTTTTTACTTTCAGTTTAGGAAACTGTAATGATGTGGTTGTAATCTTACAAATTATTCATAGCTTCTATTACTTTCAGCAGAAAGGCCCACAAGTAAATCTATTTCAGGATCATAAGTTTTCCCCCATTGCTCTGAAGTTGCTGGATTTCTGTGTGATAATTCTGTTAACTGTAAAAAGACACTGGCCAGGTTCCAAAGCCAGTTCCATGAGCCCAAGGGAACTTTAGTCTTACTTTTCTTAAAGCAAATTTTCCATGCTGCATGGCAACCTACTTGTGAAACCAGTGCAGGGGAATATGCAAAAGCATTTTGTGATATGGCATGGGAACAGCTGTTCAAAGCACATACAAAAAGTCCCAAATTCCAGTGGGCTAGCCCAAATCACAACTAAGTAGTTTTTGGGATCCCAGGTTTAATGCTGTAGCATGAGTTTTTGTAGACAAGATTCTATTTTTTACAAAGCACACTGATGTAATAATACATGTTCACAAGGTACGGTCAGCACTCCACATTTGCAGGGGTGAGGGGCACAGGACCCCTGCAAAAGTGGAAGAACTGTGAAATCTCTACTCCCCCTGCAACCTTAACTCTTAATATTGTCGACCATATGTGTACTGCATTTTCCCTCTCTCTCTGTATGTGTCTTTGCTCCCACTGATGTAGCTGCAGCAACAGCTTCAGGAATTTCCCTTTCTTTTTTCTTGATACCTGAATATACCAGTGTATAAGGTGACTCACATATAAGACAAAGTCAATATTTTAGGCTGTTTTTCTGCTGTTTGTCACCTTATATGCCAATATATTTGGGAATTTTCTGGAATATACTTCCTGGCCACATGTTCCTCATATTATTACTGTATATATCAGCATATAAGACAACCTCCAATTTTTGCTTTGCTATTTTTGGTTTCAAGGATCATCTTATATGCTGATACATATGCTAACAATGTGTGGAACAAGTGACCATAAAGTATGTTTCAGAAAAATACCCAAATATATTGGTACATAAGAAAACTTGCATATAAGACAAGGCTACAAAACTCCCTCCAAAAATACTGTTGTGTGATGATCACACATATATCTGTTTCCTCATGTGTACATATGTTGGATTTCCGTTTATGGTGGGTTCCCAAAACAAGAAGATAGACCCAACTGTAATTTTCTTCATTTGTTTTTAAACACAGATGTTTTGGGAGGGGAGTAGATTTCAATACCAGGGTAAGAAAAAAAACCTGTAAATAGGACTTGAGATAATATCATTGAAAAAATCTTATTTGGATGTCCTGGTCCCCTTTTCCCCAATTTTCATTTAAATGTTCTTACAACTGTAAAAGAAGAAACAAACATTCATATTTAATGATTTCCAGTTGTGTCATCATTATTTGATTTTTTTTAAAACACAAACTACTAATATTAGAATGTATGGCTTTCATATGTTCCATTTTTAATAACTTGTTTGGCTGATATAAACCACAGGCCTTGCAATCCTGTAGCCACTGGACAGTGTTTACATAGCAACAGAACTTTTCAAAGACCTAGCAGTGAGGCTGGAAAACCATTCCAGCCATTTAGTTGATGTTATGACCTTGGAGTGTGCTCCCCCACCTCACAGCTAGTGTAGAAATAGGTCATGTCCCAGGTTTGCAAGAGCAATCTCGGAAATGGGGTTTGGTGGGTATTGCAAGGGTGGATGTCACCATGTTACAAAATATCATGGCGATCCCTGAGCCCCCATCTCTGAGGAGTGATACTTAGATGCCCGAAACGGGTCATCTAATTGTTCTGAAGATGAGGGAAGAATGCAGGTGCCTCTGCACTCCTTCTATCCTGCATAGCATGCCCATAATCCTCCAAGTGTGGAGGGTGTGGGTTATCTGGATTGGATTATGCCCTAGAACATTGCTGTGAAGTGCCTGGTCCTACCTAATCTGAGAAGCTAAGCAGTGTAAGGCCTGGCTGAAATCTGGATAGGTGGCTTAAATGTTGTGAACCACCCCGAGAGCCTCAGCTATGGGTGTTATATAAAATAATAAATACTACTAATAATAATACATCATTATTATTATTTAGTAACTTGTACATACATATTTCTAGCTTAATGTTGCTATGTTATATATTTCAGTGAAATGACACAAGAAAAAATGAAACAAATTTGTTTCGTTTTGAAGGTGCAGTGAGAGATGCTGCACCTTCAAAATTTCAAATGCATTAGATGTTTTATTGGTGTTTGGATTATGTTGTCCCATTTCAGGGCTGGTTCTTGCTTTTTAAGTCACAGTTGCAACTGATTATGATGAATTGTATTATAATGCTTTACGACTAGTTTCACTGCTCAGTCTTCTACTTTGAAGGTCGAAATGAACTCAGTTGTAGCACAGCTGATAGCCAAAGGAACATTCCTGTTCAACGCGGTAAGTGAAAAATAACAGAAGTAGTCATCTTGGTCTTAAACAAACTGTAGATAACAGCTGTAACCCTTTAGAGATGGAAATTCTGCTTGTTTTTTTAATGTTTGGTATCA